TAATTAATTAATTAATTAATTAACTAACTAACTTATTGCCTCTTATTTAGTGGAAATATTGATGTTGATGAGACTTTCTCCAAAATGATAACCTTTTCAACCTTTAGCCAGGGGTGAAAGTAGTTCACCCCTGGCAAAAAAGAAAAATTTTGTGCTGATGACATGTATGTTTTAATATGTAGCTTCGTGCTCTTGGGTTCCCTCTGGTGGTGTGGGGGACCTATGCAACCACTTAACTCGCATTAATGTTGATCCTGCGAAAATCCACAATGACTCCAAACCAGTTTCAGGTTTTCTTTTAATTGCAGTTCTTTGTTAACGTCTCAGGAATGTTTCTGTTTCGTTTGCAGGACTGGAATCCGACCGGCGACCTCGGGCGGCGCAGTCAAGCATCTGTCGGGAACACACCAACCTTCACAGCCGGCTGGACGCGGTGGAGAAGGTGCTACACCCAAAAATAACATCACCTTTACCCAACAGTGAAGGGATCCAACATATTTTATTGGTTACACCATTTTTCAATCTATTTGGAAAGCTGACTCACTACCTTCTGTGAAAACAGACAAATCACAATGCTCCTCTCCCTGTTTTAGATCTGTTTGCATTATTCATGAGTGACGTTTCAATTATCTATAATGGAACATAATAATGCATTATTCACTTGTCAGCCACACTCACATAAGATATGCCTTCTATTTCCTGCAGAGGGTGGAGAACACAGTCATGAAGTTGGAGGGGGAGCTGGCTGCGCTAATGGAGGCCATCGAAGCGCCGCAGTGGCGCCCCCTGCTGGACACATCTGGAAAGACAGTTGTGGACATCCTGGAGGATCCAGCCCAAAGGCGCCAGTCGTGAATGGAGAATAAACCCACGTCACGATGACACGAAGTCTCTACATAGACAATTCTGCGTAAAAGTTTCAAGTCTTTATGTTTAATCGAGAAAAAAAAAGAATACGCACTGCAAAAACACAAAATCTTATCAAGATTTTTTGTCTAGCTACTGGTGCAAAATATCTTACAAAACTAACTTGAAAGTAACTCTTCAGCAAGATATTGGAGATTGTTTTAATTCAACATAGACAAAAAAAATACTAATTCCACTTACAGATTTTGTTTACTTAAAGTCTTGTTACACGTAAAAAAAAAAAAAATCTGTGGATATGTTTTTGTGACGACATTTGACAAAATTTAATGACTGTTTTAGTTTTCACAGCTGTTGACCACATGATGCATTTATGTTTGTTTTTGTTGATTTTTTATACACTTTGAACTGCCATGTTCATGAAATGTGTTACAGAAATAAACCCGATTGAATGACTTTCAGAAACTAGACAAAAATACTCGGTACAATTTTGTTTTTGCAGTGTAGATGCAGCTGTTTATTAAAATGCTGGTTCATTTCTTTATTTTTGTGGTTATGAGTCAAATTGTTGTGAAATGTCTCAGTAGGAAAATATCAGTTTTTCCTCATAACGATCAGCAACTTTCAGACAATCTGAACAAGTGAGTGAATAACATTTTTGTGACATAAAAACTTAAATCCATATCTCTTTTTAAAAACAAAAATCACCTTTAATGTAAAACTAAAACAGATCTTATGCAATTCAGCTAAAAACGTAGAAAGCTGCAATAAGCCGATTGCCAAGATGTACAGAACCTTGAATGAATATGTTTTAATTAAATTTCAGCATTCAGTCATTTGATGGGATCCGGTCAAGATCCCAAATCTTGACTTGGAAATATTTGCTCTCTCTACCTTGCAGATTTTGAAAACACCTATGTTCAAAAGTATTAGTGGGGCAAGAATGTATAATTTTTACAAACTAAAATGAGGAAATATGTTGTGATTTTTTTTTGTTTTTTCCAACTCAACAATAAACTAAGCCTGAACTAATCAAGTAATCATTTTAATTTTATCCAAGTAAAATATTAAGTTTATTAAGTTGTCAAATTAAACAAATGTAAATAAAGTAAGTTTGGTAAACTTACTTTATTTAAATTAAATTAACCATTTTTCAAGTTGGAGTTATGTCTCATCTTTTCATCTTTTTTTGAGTATTTGTCTAAAAGCCTTTTCCATACTTTCTTTAATTATAACTGTCTTCACTGTATGATGGCATCTAAATTTGACTGATGCATTTTGTTAATCTCTCTGCAAACTCTGATTTTAGCCAAATGAATTAAATGCCAGAAAATCCTTCTGGAATAGCTGAAGTTTATTTCAGGTTAATCAGATTAACTGACAGCAGGTGGAATTGAATAAAAAATTAGCATTAGCTTAATGTGCACACTCATTATGCAACCAGGTTGTTTTTTAATCTGTGATTTTCCTCTCCAATATGCCACAATAAAGGTGGAAAAATGATATCCACTGTGTTTGACTGAGCATCTTTAGAGAAAGGACTGTGTTTTGCAGAAGATAAGCAACATTCTCTGCATTATTTACTCTGCAATCCTGAGACAGCCTCATCTCTTCCCCCAAGTCAGAGATTCAGTCCTAGATTCGTCTTCCTGCAGTTGGTTTTGGCAAAGTGTGTGTGTACACTGCTATTTAGAGAGGAAAGGTCTCACTCGCTCCCAATAAATCTAGAAAAAGTGACACACAGACACTGAATCATTGGAAGATTTATTTCTTTATCAAAGCAATCAAAGCAGCATCATGTTTTTGAACACAGAGGAGTTTTTAGTTGGTACAGGAACAAGACTTTGTTTTCTTCTTTCCACCCAATTGACAGAAACCCTGAAGTACGAGAACATTACGTGAGGGGACGAGCGGTATGGGCCTTCCACCGAGTTTCAGACTGAATCCACAGGGCAAAGACGAAGCACAGACCAGGATGTCTCGACAACATCACAGAAAAATGTTTGAGTTAAGAGACTTGCTGCTAAACGGCAGCCAGAACATAAACAAAGAAACATACGACCAGTCAGAAATGGTACGCAAATATCAGAATAAGTTCATTTACAAATGATTAACAGATGATTACATCGACACCTCAGGAATATGTTGAATCTGATGGAACAAAGTCTGAGAACCTTCTGCTCCACAAACCAGAACTTTTCATGAGTCTCTATAAAAAAAGCAGCAAATTCTTCATATAGATGAAGGAGTAATTCTAGATATTCATTTAATTGCTGCATAAATAAAACAAATCATCACGCACGCACACAACGGTGGACGTCGTGTCGCTCACATGCATCTAGGCCTGGGCGATACGGCTTAAAAGTGAAAAGTCAGATTTATTTCATAGCAGATTCGATTTTAATCGACTTGTTTTCTTTCCTAAAAAAAAACTACGACAGGGTGTCTTCAAATGTAAGACTTTAAAAGCTTATTAGGAGTGAAATTTAAACAGAAATGCACAACAAAAACTGCATATTTCATGTACATATTAGTAAAAGTGGAAACTATTGAGGAAGAAATAGCTCTCCTTGTCTAGCTGACTATGAGATGTCATCAGAATTTTACTTGAGTTTATTGTATTTTAAATTGTTTTAATGCACGAAACATCTTGCAGGTTGGCCACAGAAGTGAGTAAGAGATGACAATGAACATCGTCTTGCCAACCGCCATGATGGACGCAGTAAAGCTAGGTAGCTAGCTGGCAACAGTATATTAACAGCTAGTTAGCAGTAGACTCAACTGCTTTGTGACGCACTGAAGATGTCTGTGCCTTACTCAAACTTTTGGTTAACACAAAAGCCCTGGGAGAAAAAAAAACAGATCTTAGAAAATACGACATTAAATAGTCCAGCCCGGACAAAATTAAAGACCTGTAATCAGTGTTTTTAAGACCAACTTACATGCATTTTAATAAATTTAAGACATTTTAAGGAATAATTTTATGTACAAAAACTTAACACTAAGGTTTACAAATGACAGAAGCTTTTTTTTTTTTTTTAAAGTGGCTTTTATTTTAATTATCTCTTTTGTAAGTGGTGCAATAGAGTATTAGGGACAGGCTAGGATAATTTGTATATCAATACAAAAATAAAGTTATAATATGAGCAAAATAAAAGATGCATTTTTACTGAAGAACAAATTAAAACTATGAGGAAACAGTCGTTTTAATGAGAAAAAAACCTTGTATCATTAACTTTTTGTCATTTTTTGTGTTCTCATAAATTTACTATTTCATTTTCCTAATATTACAACTCATGTATTATTTTGACTTTATTCTTGTAACATTTTGACTTTATTTTCATTAAAAAAAATCCAAATCTTAGCCTGAGTCTTACATTTTGTTGTAGAGATTAACTGAATTCATCTTGCTTATGAAACAAGATGGCTGCCTTGGGAGTGCTGACATCACTCTGAACTTTGGAGATAAAAAAATTCAGATTTTCCAAAAATTAAATCTTCCAAAATCAAAAATTGGACAGAATCGAGTCATCGCCCAGTCCAAGCTGCACCCCTGAACAACAAAAACGAAGGCCACCAAGAGGATGCCGAGAGGTACTCCATATCATCTAAGGTAACATGCTGTCCACGTAACACCAGGATTATATCGTTTTTATACAACGCATGTGTTCACAAAACTCAGTGCCTCGCAATCCAGCTACACTCAATCAGTAATGAGGTGAGCGGCGAGGTATGAGGAAAAGCTTCTGCATGCATAAGATCAGCCGGTCAGGCTCAAGCTCCAGGCTTTGGCTAAATCAGGCTTATGTTGTAAAGATACATGCAAAAACTAAACAAAACACAGCAGTAAAATAAATAAAAACAGGCTTCAAAACGACTATTCAGGTCATCACAGGCAGACTGTAAGGATGCCTTTTTATATCCCTTTAAGAAAGCTGCTAAATCTAGTTGTCATGTGGGGATAAAGGGAATAATTACAGATTTTGGGAGATATTTGCCTCATTCTGGGAATGATTTGAGAAGATTCACACCAGTCTCATGTCTGTGCATCAACTCTATGCTGAGGGTCCATCTTTAAAAGGCAGCGTAATGAAAAGGATGAAACGGTTTCACCAACTTAAATTCAAGACTTTTTAAGACCATTATGGATGAAATTTAACACCAAAAATGTACAAAAGAAATACATGTCAAACTACTGAGGAATAAATGCTACTTTTTGTGAGACTGACTATGAGATAATAACTGCATTCCTACAACAAATGTTTGCAAAACTTTGTCAATATTCCACTAATGCCAAAAAGACGCAAATTTGCAATTGCTGCATTTCCATTAAATAAGAAACACTATTAAAATTACATGTGAATAAGTTTGTTCATGTGATAAGTAATTAAAAAACATGCTGCGCCATTGTCCTCCCCTGTCATCTTGTTAGTGTTTTTTTGCCAGTAGTAACATCCAGTTGTGATGTGAAAAAAGTGTTTCCATTGCAGTTTTGTGAAATAAACAAATTTTAATATGGGAAAAAAACACCTTACAAGTAACATTTCAGCAAGACATGAGAACTTGTTTTAAGCCAATAATTTCTTAAATTTGATGAAAAAGTACCAGTTCTATTGGGAAATTATTTCACTTATAACAAGACATTTCTCCTGTGTTATAAGTAAAATAATCTGCCAATGGAACTAGTATTTTTCAACAATTTCAAGAAATAATTGACTCTAAACAATACTTTAAAGTTGCTGAAAAGTTACTTGTAAATTGGTTTTGTCTAATTTCAAGTGTGCTAAGATGTTTCCACTAGAAAGTAAACCAAAAATATTTGGTAAGATTTAGGTTTTGCAGTGTAAGAGTTTTCCACACAGACATAAAAATGGCATCAATCTTCTTTTCTATTCCTAAGACGCCAAAAATTGCAAGTTGTTTCACCAGAAATTCAAGACACCACTCCACCTGAAATAACCACATTACTGTCCTATAAACAATGACAGTCTTCACTATTAAACAGAGCAAACCTTGGGTTCTACAAAAAAGAAAATACAACATACATTCAGACATTTAAAGTTCCTTAGAAATGGTTATGCAAATGGTAGAAAAAGCTTTGGCATATTTTGCCTACAAGTTGTGCCTGCACACTTGGAGAGAAGAGCGGAGTGAAGCGCTAGGAGGGGGCGGGGCTTCACTGAGCTTTTCTCTCAGTTTACACGTAGTTAGCAGTCCCACATAAAACTGTGGAGAGTTTAATTACCTACACTACATGCTATTTACACTGCTTTTTATTCATTATCAGGCCCAGGGGGGTAATTTAAGGTAAGTCCTTTGCTACACGACAACCTTAAATGTGCGAGCATCGCTGTGAGAGCTCATCTATACAGCCTGAAGAACCAACAGCTACACGTTTAGGCCCCAAACTAAGCCCTACGCGGAGATGATCTTTGTCCTAACTGGGCACTTAATAGGATGATGTCTAGTAAAGCAGCTTTGAAATAGATTCTTAAAGGCTGACAATGCTGCATTCTATCCTTAGAGCTTATTCTGGCCTTTTTCCAGTCATTAGTACTGATTTCCCACGAATTAAGTTACCTTAATATCTTAAAAAAAAAAAAAGGCTTCAAATGAACTTGGTTCACACTTAGAGAGGAAAAACCAGACTAATATCTTATAATGCATCTGTGGGTGCAACAAGGTTAACAGATACTGATTATCATAGACAGGCACAACTTTAAACAGGTTTAAGAACATAAAACCAACCAACACTTACTGGAAACTGTGACTCAGAAAGCTGCTACAACCGTAAATCGAACACTTTAGCCCCGAATTCAGGCAACTTAGCACTGCAAAAACACCAAATATTATGATATTTTTAGTCTAGTTTCTAGTTTAAATATCTAAGTGTACTTCAAATATGACAAAACTATCTGACATGTAACTTTTCAGCAAAATTTAAGAGCTTATTTTAAGGAAATTATTCCTTAATGTTGATGAAAAAGTTCAAGTTCTACTGGCACCGTTACCTAGCAACGCCAGCCAAGCCCAGCCTGTCACCTAGCAACGCCAGCCAAGCCCAGCCCGTTTCCTAGCAACCCAGTTCTAGTTCCACTGCCAGATTATTTCACTTGTAACAGAGGTTATAAGTTTCTTGTGATACTGCATTTACATTATGAATGTCTGCAAAACTTTGTCAATATTCCACTAATCTCACAAAAACCTACAATTTCACAATTTAATGTGTCTGTTAAATAAGAAACACAATTAAGATGACATATAAATTAGTTTGTTTATGCAATGAGGTACTAAAAAAACTTGCTACCACTTCCTGTTTGTCTTCTTCTTCATGGTTTACACCAGAAAAAGTGTTTCCATTCCAGTTTTGCAAAATAAACCAATTTTGATATGGCTGAAAAACCACCTCATCTTAGCGCCAAGACTTTGTCTTTAAACTTTTTTTTCCCCCCGAAAATTGTGTGTTTCATTTAGCAAATTTATTTTTCAAAGTGTCAAATTATTGTGGTCAATGGAAACACAGCTACTGAAGTAATCTGCCAGTTGAATTAGTTTTTTTTCATCAATACGAATATTAATATTAATAATTTATTTAAAACAAGCTCCTATATCTTACTACAAGTTAGTTTACTTGGAATAACACAAAACTAAGATATTTTTACAAGAAACTAGACAAAAAAATACTTGGTAAGATTTTGTGTTTTTGCATTAAACACATAATCATGGTAAAAAAGAGAGAACACCCACTTTTAATTTTAGGGATCAGGACATAATATGTATTATTTTGTCTTTATCAGGCCCCACGGTTATATTTTAATCTAATCTCAAGCCTTAAAAAAAGGGTCAAAGGCCAAAAAGGAAGAGCTGTATGTGGAAAACTAAATACTGTATATTTTCAGAAAAAACAAGCAGCCATTTTGCTTCTCTGGAGCATTTAGAGACTTTTTAACACAATGCCAAGATGTATCAGCAATAATCTTGGAGTCGTGCCCATCAACCTGTGAAGGGTTTTTAGGCAATTTCCTTCAATCTGAGGTTATTTATTCTAAGGCAAGGGAGACAGAAAACATTCGCCTCAATGTCGGACCGTTGAATAGTAAAATAACTAGTCGTGGAGCTGAAAGGAGGCGTTCTCTCTCCCCACCATGATGGTACGAGAGGCTGTGAGGGAAGAGCAAAGCGGAAACACAGACGACAGCAAACCGAGGGGCTTCTGAGTCGTCCCGATCGGATTTGGCACAGAGACTTTGAGGAGAACCAGAGGAGCCTCAACCAAACCAAGCAACTCAACTTAAGCTTCTGTATGAAACTTTTACAAGAAATATTTCTTTTTATTTGTTGAAACCGTCAACATATCATGACAGTATAATATGAAACAGCTAATCTGTGAAAAAAATCTGCTTTCTCCCAGTGCTAACCAGGTTATAATAGCAACAAAATAACAAAAACTGAAATTTAGAAAATATTTTTCGTTAACTAAATAAAAACAGTAATGAATTAATGAGGAAAAATTAAACTAACTGGAGCTGCATCATGCATTTGTAAAGCTAATGTAAACGCACTGAAATTGTAGATATAATATACTTTGTTTTATTCTTTATAAACCTATTTATTAGAATTTTAGCTACTGATGAAGTTGATAAATGGTTTTCTTGTAACGGTAAGTTGCTTCTCCACCATTTTTACGTTTAACAGCGAGTACATGAGCTTGATTCACAGCGTTAAGACCCGCCTCCTGCTCTGATTGGTTGTATTTGTGCATTTTTTCCAGACAGCATAAGTAGCTCAAGAAAGAGGTGGAGGAGACTGATTTTTTCACAGATTATCTGTCTCATGTTACGCCATCACAACATGGTGAAAGTTTTAACAAATATATGAAAAACATATTTTTAAATAAAAGTTACATACTGCAGCTTTAAGCTGTGGATCGCTGTTGCTCAGGATGTCACCGTGGTTACGATCAACACCTCCCAGTGAGTGAAAACCTTATTTATCATGCTATAATGTTACATTGCATAGAAGTTAGAGCTTACTCTATGAGCACAGAGAGTCTCTGGGGATCTGCTTCATTCATGCCTTACCAGAAAGATGCTACGGAAAGTAAAAGAGACGGAACACTGGGGCAGCCATTTTGGGTCATTTTGCCCCCCCCGGCCTCCTCCTCTGTGTGCGTTTCCTCGGCGACAGAGGAGAGAGGTGATGGGGGGATCTATTGGCACGGCACAGACAGATCCGTCACTGTGTGGGCTAGCAGCTGCCGGGGGATGAGCACACAGAGCCGCACATGCTCAGTTTGGAGGAGGACTCCGGCTCCTGGTCGGGCTCCGGCTCTGGGTCCGGATCCTGCGTGTTGTCGTCGGCGACCCCAGTTTCCGCCTTGTCGTCCCTGTCGGCGCTGGCGTCGTCGCCCCCGGCCTCCGACTGGCCCTCCTCCTGGCGCCTTTTCAACCTCACAGGCAGAAAATAAATAACTGGTATCAGTGTTTCTCCCTGTGCTAATCATTCTGCTGCATGTGGCGGCAAAAAAACAGAAACCACAGTAATGAGAGTGGAGTGTAATTACAGGACTTGACTGAATTATACCGTGTAGGGCTCTTCACTGCTGCGCATAATTCTAGATTCATTATAAATACCAGTAGATTGTCATTAATTAGAGCAATAGGATATAATAAGACACTTGCACAGAGAGGGAGTTCAGTAGGACTGCAGTGGCAGGACTTGGTCAGTAATAAATGAGGCAATAATTGAGCGCAGCACAGAACCAATATACTTCCCTGCACCTTGCAAAGAGGAATACCTTACTATAATTTATGCCACTTTTACTCATAATTAACTCTGCATATTCTGCAGGAAAGCTTTGCAGCAGTTTTAAATCTATGCTGGCTAGCAGATAGGAGTGTGTCAAAAAAAAAAAAAAAAGATTCACATGAGATTCTAATGTGGCGTTTTAGGGCTTTAGTAGATAGAAAAAAGGAAGAGTAAATGTCTAGATTCATCTCAGAAAAAACAAGGAAGTTTCTGACTTTGAAAAGCTGAAAATTTGCTAGAAAAAACTATAAATTAATTTCAGAATATTTAGGAAAAAAACTTGAACATTTTCCTAAAATTGTTACAATTACCTTATTTTTACTAGAAAAGATTTTAGGTGAAAATTTATTCTTCCTTTTTTCTAACAATGACCGTTGGCAAAAAAATCTTAGAAAATTTCTAGAAAAACAAAAATTTGAGTCTGAAAATATGCTAGAAAAAAATTAGGAAATTTTAGATGAATTTCAGAAATTTTAGGAAAAAAACCTTGAAAATTTCTGGGTTTCAAAAGTTTAAAATTTGTGGGAAAAATGTTTTTTTGGGGAAATTTATTCTAAATAACAAATGCTGCTGACTAAAAATCTGAAATTTTCTAGAAAAACAAGGAAATTTCTGAGTTTAAAAATGTGAGAATTAAAAAAAAAAACAACATTGGAAATTTCTGAGTTTTAAAAGTCAAAACTTTTCAAAATAACAGCGTGAAGTAAAAACTGTAAATAAAATAGGAGGAATTAAGGCCTTTATTGACAGTATGTCAGATATTTAAAGCAAAAAACAAAACAAACAAACCCACAAATCCATAATTATCAATATCGACTGATATGAAACATTTATATCACAATGTTTTTCAGCCATATTGTCCAGCAAGGACAAACATATATGAAAGGATATTACTGGTACTTTTAGTTCCATTTTTTGTGGAAATTCAAAGCAAATATTGAAGGGAAAAATAAAGAAATTGCATTTGTATAAAACATTTGCTGGTTTTTTTCTATTTTTCTAGCCAAGATCCATTGTAGACGGTAAAAGAGGGGCCATTTGTGGCCCCTGTTTTTGACTTTCCGCTGCGTTTTCTTCCTCTTACCTCTCGCGGTTGAAGATCATGAACTCTTGCTGCACCACTTCAAGGCACTCCTGTAGGTAGTCGTTCTCCTGCAGGCGACACACAGAAGACATAAAGTCTTCAGCTTCATGAATCAACGCTCGCTAACCTTTTCCGTCGTTTCAGAAAATCCTGAATGGGTCGGCTCCCCTTGTAATGACGCGGCGTTTCGTCATTCCCAGCCTTCGCGGTTGCTTTTAGAACGACTCGTGAATTGTTTGCGAGCCGTCCTCAGATTGGATGTTTGGCTTGGGACAAAAATAGAAGCTCATATTTCCAAAAGCACCCGGGGCCATGACAACGGCACGGAAAGGCTTCATAATTTAATAATCTTAGTAATAATGCAGAATGAGCGCGTGCACACACACACACTGATGGTAATAACACAGTCATGAGGGCTGTTTGATGAGAACAGGCTGGTTCTTTGGTACAGAGCAGAAACCTCTGGTCTGTGGTTAAACATCACAGCCGGTCTTAGGATGAACACTTTACAGCGAATAAACCCACAGATCCTCCTGAATTCAGTCTCCAGTGGAGATTTGTCACTGTTATCCATCTGGAACTTAATATTCCAGTGTAATCCTTTTAATTAGGAGAACATCTTACAGCAATAATCTTATAATGATCGCTAAATGTTAGAGGAGTAAATGCCATCAGCGCCGGCTATTCCCATCGTTGCATAATAAGCTGAAAATTTTTTCAATTAACTGATTAATCTTTTAGAAAACGGTCCAACAATGGCTTCGGATTCAAACAGTTCTGGCTGACAGTTAATGGGGGAAATTAAACTGAAAATGAGAAAGGCGCATACAAAAGTTAACACCTGTGAATGCTTAATTAAAGGTCATAATGGAGCATAACTAAGCAGAATGAAAATGTATTTATTCTGACTTATGTTTTACCAACGCAGAAGGTTTGCTAGTTAAAAAAACAGCATTGAGTCAAATCTGATATATTTTTCTGTTTTGCTACAAGCTGAAATATAGATTACTGACTTCGGCTGCAAAACATTGTATGACACGAGTCATAAGCTTTGTACTAATTCATCACTGAGCTGCCACTGCACTTGTCTGGGCTAAAACGATTAATCAAATTAATTGATTACTGAAATAATCGGCAACTAATTTAGTGATCAATTAATTGTCAACGGGAGTAAACAGACTCTAAAGAGGGCTATTTGCTGAAAGAACAACATATCTAGAGCAGTAAATGAGCCAGAAAATAATGTATATAAACAATGTATAATGACTATAACTTTTATAAAAAATATTTACATGTAAAACTGTCTCCATGTTGTGACACAGACAGATAATCTGTGAAACTATCAATCTCCTCCATGAGCTACTATAGCCGTCTGAAAAAATGTACCAAAAACAGCCAGTCAGAGCCAGGAGGAGGGTCTTAGCGCTGCCAAGTAGGCTCTTGTACTCGCTGCTAAATGTGCAGATGGAGGAGAAACAACTTACTGTTACAGGAAAATCTCTAGTTAGCTGTGGCTATGCTAACTAGCTTTAGCATTCATGACAGGCTACGCTAACTGCAACAAAGCCAAGAGTAAGTTGGGTAAAAGGGAATGAGCAGTGCCAAATGGGGAGTGATTGACAGCATTAAGGCCCTCCTCTTGGCTCTGATTGGTTATTTTTAGTTAGCAGTGCACTGTAAAAACAAAAAAGTCACTAATTTATGCTAAAATACCAGCAGCTGTATTTGCCAGAATTTTACCAAATAAATACGGTTAAAAAATACAGCCAGCATTTTACAGTATAAATTTGCATTTTACCGTATTTATGGCAGTATTTAGAAGTAAATTACTGTACTCTCTGTAAAACAAGTCTTTTTTTTTACAGTGTGGGAGCACTGGGAAGATGCGGTGAGCTAAACTTTTTCACAGATTATCTGTCTCAAAATATCTTATCGAAATTTTTTTTTTTAAATCAGCATGAAAATCCCCATAAAACTGGTGTACAAATGTGAAATGTACAAATTGTTGTTTATCTATGGCAACCTTGAATCAAATCAACATTTTTAAATAGATTTTTACAGATTTTTCCTGTCACAATTTTACTGTTTATTACTGTTAAATATTTTTTTTACAGTGCGCCTCTTTACTGGAAATAATTAGATTGATTTGATGTGAATCAAAACTGAAACGGATCTATCAGATGTCTCTAGACGACATCTGATGTGAAAATGAACTGCAGCTGCGCTGAATCATGCATGCTTTTGAAATTGAACGTATGATCGAGAATAAAAGTGGGTCAGTCATGCAGAAAGCTGCACAGTGTCGGCAGGTTACGCACTTCAACAATAAGTATCTCTTCATACTAGAGCACTCTTTTATTCATTTTGTTTGCAGAGCGGAGAATAGAAGCAACTCATATCAGCTGAGGGAAAAAATGGAGCTTGGCTCACCGCCAGACTAAAAATATGCAGTTTTGACAGGAAGTGCCTTACAGGAGACCTGAGCTGCATTATTATTATCCCAGACAGACTCTTGGAGAATACTATTCATTCCAGCACAACTCCTGCAGCAGTTATTGATCCCCTGCATACAAAAATGGGAAATTACGCAAACAAAACATGCAAAATCTGATCAGTTTTAACAAAAAAGTGTTTCTTAATGTAAAAAGACAGCATGAGACTAAAAATGTAGGATTTGTTTTAAGATGAAAAGAAATGACAACAGATGCAGTAACATCTTGAATCCCGTCTTCATCCTCACAGCTCCCAAATCCTCCTACGTAACAGAACGGGCTGCAGTTATTCCTGAGGTAAGAACCGTTGCAGAGGATCCACTAAAAGTTCTTTAAATGTTTTTCTTTATCTTTAAGGAGACTTTTTGCTTTTTGTTCCATTTATTTGGTTCTCAATTTGTTTGCAGTCAGTATATAGATGCACCGATCAACATTTTTCATTTCTGATACCGATACAGATATTTGAGGTATCATACAATACAGTACAGAAAAACAGTTCTGAATTTACTTTGTTTCAACGCAAATGTACTGAATTATTATAACTTTGCTCCAGTTCAGCACAATTAAATACAATAGTTTCACAAAGAACTTTAATTTGTTCAGCCAGTGCAATCAGGAGAATAATTAACTAATAAAGACACTGAAACTGACAAAAACAATAAGTTGAAAAAATTTCAAATTTAAGCTGAAACAAACCTTCAAAGCATAGAATTAAACCAAATAGATCTGCCCTCATGAATCGGACATATTGTCACCGATATCAATATCCGAACCGATACTGATGTTAATATCAGATCGGTGCATCTCTAATTAAATATTTAGTTCTAGTCTCTATTCTAGGAAATGTGTTGTAAAACTGTAGCCTTGTTGCTTTCTGTCTTATTCTCTGAATGCAGTTGAAACATGTTTTAAATTAAAACAGGAATAAATAGAGACGCCAGAAACCAGAAATAGACTCTGGATGGATGAAAAGCATTAATATTTTAAAAGGATCTGATTGTATTGTAATTTGGATAAAAAGAAAAAAGAAAAGTATATTACTGGACCTTATTCAGATTAGACTTTATAATTAGATTGTACAAAATGAACTCCATTTCAGCCATATTTGCTTTTAATGTGAACTAGATCTCTTTTTCTCTGTTACCATGCTTTGGCAATAATATACATGAAAATATCTGGACTGGAAACAAACTGTGATGCACACATTCACTCACAACTTTCATAGTTTTAAAATCTTCACAGAAATCTTTGAGTTTAAATTTGTAAATAATTGTCTTTTATATGCCCTCGTTTTTCACAGCTTGGTGTGTGCAGGACTGACTGACTGACTCACAGACTGTGAATCCTTGCTGTTGTCTCGAGAGCGGTTCTTAGCCAGCCTCTTCTTCTTCTTGTGGAGGGGTCGCGACTCCAGGATCATCTCCTCCAGCTCAAAGGTGGGGTCGCAGTGGAGCCGACCTTTCTGTGGGAGGGAGACGAACGCCACATAATTAGAGAGACACCAGGAGGAACTGCAGACACAGGAAGCAAAAATTTAGTTTATAAGAACGGCTCACTATATAGGAGAACTTACACACTCAGATTTAAGACTTTTTAAGACTATTACAAACGACAAGGAACAGAAATGACTTATTTTATATCATGTTGACAAGTTTTTTAACCACAGAATGCATTGTAGCATTGTACAGGTTAGCAACAGAAATGGGCAAAGGCTATGCAAAAAAGCTAGCTAGCCAGCTAGCAAAGCCTTAATAGCAGCTAGCTAATGAAGACGTTTGCATGTGACTCAAACTTTAGCCTGATCAAAAAATGTCCTGTGAGAAAAACAACATATAAGCGATTAAATAGTCCTGACATGACAAAATTTAAGATGTGATTAACATATTTCAAACTAACTGACATAAACAGCAGAAAAATTATTTTTGGTCCAGCTTCTTGCACAAATGACACATCATCAACATTTTTACACTTTTGCCAATACACTGCAAAAACACAAAATCTTACCAAGTAATTTTGGTACAGTTTCTTAGTGCACTTGAAATAAAACAAAGCCAACCTGCAGGTAACTTTTCAGCAAGATGTAGAAGTTTGTTTTAAGTAAATAATTCCGTATTATTGATGAAAAAGTGAAGGTTTCCCCTGGCAGATTATTTCACTTTTACACAGACATGTTTCCCATAAGTGAAATAATCTGCCAGTGCTGAGAAGTTTCTCGTAAGTTTGTGTTGTCGTAATTTAAGTGAACTAAGATATTTGCATGAGAAACTGGACAAAATTTATTGGTAAGATTTTTGTGTTTTTGCAGAGTATTTTCTCTGCTGCTTTTAAAATGGCCCAATTGTTTTTTTGTTTTTTTTTTTTTTTAAGAAAAAATACAGCTAGATGTTTTTATTTAAAGCAATAAGTTAATGTTTTTCAGTGTCTGGGAAAGAAAACGTATTCTGAAAGCCTTCAAATGTAATGTCACAAATTGGCAGGCACTGCCTTTCACCTAGCAAGCTGAACCCGTTGCCTAGCAACCCCAGTGGAACTCCGCCGTCTCCTAGCAACCCAAGCAAAACTCCAGCAAATAGGCAGAAAGGACCAGACTAAAATCTAATTTTCTAAGAATAATTTTGTAATGAACCTATTCATGGAAGCATAACAGGTCACCTTTAATTTTAGATACATAAATTTGAGATAATATATTGATTGTTTTGAAACATTTCATACATTAGGAACGAATCCAGGTTCCATCTTCTTCTCGTACACGGCGTCCCAGTTGACGGCGGCGAGGTACGGAGACGTCTGCATATCAGACAGACTGGAAAACCGATGCTCTGGGTTCACAGTCAGCAGCTGGAAGGAACAGACACACACACACACACACACACACACTCACGCTGTCACTGATATCGCCTTGCCAGTTCAAATATCACCTTCACAACTTCTCTCCAACTCTCACCAGTCACTTCATTCTGAGTGCTGAAATACTTTGCAGGTGTGAAATAAAATGGAAAAAGAAAGAAACTGGCTGAGCTGTCAAAATGTTTCAACAGAAACGGTTTGTTTCTAGTTCTTTATCGCTTCCCTGATTACCTTCATAAAAACACGTAACTTTGGTATTTATGAGCTAAATATTGATTAATTCCAAACTCCCAGAAATATTTGCTCAAAGTTCCTTATTTTCTTGCTTTTCTTGCTTCAGTGATCCATATTCAGGTAATTTAAAAGCAGCTGAATGAAAATAACATCATTACAGTGTAGGATTGATCTGTTGATTTTTTTTTCAATTAACTGATTAATAATTGGATAGGCAAAAGGTTCTTAATAGGAGAATTTTACACAGTTTGAAGAAGGTGAGGCCAAAGCTGCCACTTGTTGATTTCTGGGCAGAACATATTTAAAACAATTAGTTTTTTCTTATCTTAATGCAAATATATTTATAATTCTTGTTCAGTTTTGGCTCTGATTGCGTTGTTCTTTCAGCAAAATTACCTTTTTGTGAGTCTTTGTGCTCCAGTTAGTGATTAATCGATTATTAAATTAGTTAATGATTGTTTCAATAATTGATTAATCACAATTAATCATTTCAGTCCTACATTAAACCAACTATTTTTAACTTAATTATTTTTATTTCCTAATTGACAACAAGAATGTGTCTAAATTACAAGTTTGCACATTTTTACTTATTGTTTGGTATAATTTCCTTTTAAACTGTTTGATTAATTTATGATTTGCAAACACACCTTTTCAGTTCTACCTTCAATATTTTGTGAGACAAAGAACAAAAGAAAAAAACACAAAATGAAATAGTTTAACATATGAAGAGAGCCACAGACTCTGGTTCAGCAGATAAAAACTGTGACTCAGCACGGCTGAAGTGGAAAAATTAATTTTGAATTAAATGTTAAAACTGAAGGTAAAACAGGAAACTTGCAGAATTAGTTATGGCTTTATGGTTTCTGTGCCAGCTCACTACAGGAAACTGATTGATTATCTCCTCAGCTGAATATGACGTCATTTCCAGATCAAACCTTCAAATTTCCGTTGGAAAACATTTGCGCCACTGATGCTCTCTGCAGGAAAACTGCTGCAGCTTTTCCATATGAAAACAGAGCTGCTTTTTTCCCAGAGAGCCTGAAAACCAACAAATATGCTGTTTGTATTTTAATAGCGTGCATCGTGTTTCATCCTTCACCTGGGGCTAAACGCAGGAAGTGATAATGGGAAGTGGCTTTGGTTGTCATGTTAACTCTCTTCCTGTGCTTTGTTTTCCTCCTTCGGTCGCAGGATGATTCACTTTTTCTCCTGCAGGGCCGGTTAGGTCCATCTGGGTGGAATCCAGACACGCTAATCGATCAGCAGCCGAGCGGAAGAGACCGTCTCTCCGTCCAGAGCGCTTCGTCATCCAGACGGACAGCGCACGGACGCACTGAAGCTCGCACTGTAAAACATCCTCTGGAATTTATTTCCTCTGTTTACTGGAAGACTTTTACTGAAACCAGCAAAGAGACGAATGAACGTCTGCATGATTCCACATCATCTGCTTCTTTTTGACACTAAGTGAACAATTTACAGGTGTTATTGTACGTCTTCTCCAGGGTTTCTGCAGGTTTTCACCAACTCGAATTTAAGACTTTTTAAAACCCTTATGAATTAAATGTATACAACAAAACAGGGTCATGCTTAGAAAGTAAAATAATAAAATTATAAATAAAGTCATAATATCATAAAGTTGTATTCAGAGAGTAAAGTATAAAAATACTAG